GCAAAAGGTTCTATCATCTGTTGTTGCTTTTAAAAAATATTATACAATTAAAGGAGCAATATGTAATATTTGCATGTCAAGTCATCATTAAATGACCCGAATATTTCAAAAGGCATTAATAAATCATGTTCTTTTCAAACACATCTTTAACTGATAACAGTAGTTCATCCGAGATATTTGAATATCAAAATTAGTTTTACGACCCGTAAAAGTTGTTATTGTTTTGATTTTGATGTCCTACCCTCCGCCGTTTCGCCAATCAGGAAGTGTCATGTAAGTCCGTGATCGGGTTGCCAGAACTCCGCGCGGCTCATTAATCTCAGAGGTAAAATAACATGTGGCGCAGAACTAAAAAAGGTCTTGTTATGACTCTCAAATCATTAATGACAAAACAAAGACTAAAACGAGGATTTATATCGGGACGCCTTTGAACAATTGAGACAGCTGATAAAAGTTTACGTGTGATGCAGAATTTGCTAGTTTGAATCCGTTCTTCACAGTGACTCTTAACTGTGTGAATCGGTGGTCTAGTGGTTAAAACTGTGCGCTTACAATGCAGGAACCCGGGTTCGATTCTGGGCTATGTCTTTTTGTATTTATTGCATGTTATCACATTCTATGACAGATTGCTCTAAAAACGGTAAAAGACGAAGGTCAAGACGTTTTTTTGCAGATTATAGCTTAATTGTAAAAATAATCATTTAAGACCACATGTACCCCAATTAAAATAATGTTAGTCTCTTTTTGATGTGGGACTTTTACATGTTTGTCTAAAAAATAGGGAATAAATAAAATTGAAAGGTGATATCCTCTTGAGCAAACCCTGATGTTGATACGCTGAAGAAATACGTTCCAACATCCATTCTTCCCACTCCTATTTTGGACATCAATTGCTTATGTATTTTGCATAAACTATGTATAATTACATTGCTTTTATTTTGTTTTTGTTTTTTATCTCAAATGTCCAAATAATAATAATAAAAAAACATGAATCAAAACATTCATTCAACATTAGTATGCCTCATGGCAATGTGAATGGAGACGGACAAACAACTGATAAAATAATTCCCTGTGTTTGCTGCTGGATTTGGTGTGAATCTGGCAACCTGACTCAGGGAGAGTGGGAGAGGACTACAAAATATTGACTGTGACTGCAGTACCACTTTTGGCCAGATTTTTACATATTGTTCCTTTAAATCTCAATATGCTATTTGTGTTGATGTTGCGCAATTATCTTATATTAGCTCCATGGCAAGCGGCTAATTTGTTTCACAGCTGTTTGGTCAATGGAGTCTTGGTCTGATATACTATTTGTCGTGGAACAATATTTTGATCACTAAATATGTACATTCTTTTAGAGGTTGACAAATATTGACTTGGGGGCTAATGCACTACTTAGATATTAGCCTTTGTGGATAGTGATGGCCCCCACTGAAAGATCAAGGCTATGTTCACACTCAGAGAGCAGCCGTCCTCCTGTGGACTCACCACCTGCAGAGGGTCAGTGAGGGGCTGGTGCTATGAGACTTGGGTGGCATCTCTGATTGCCACCCCCCTGACCCAGAAATGGATTAAAGGGTAGAAAATGGATGGATGGATGGATGGATGGATGGATAGTGATGGGAAGAGTTTTATTTATTAATGGAAAAGATACAAAAAAACAGTTGCATCTTTGGATATGTTTATGTATTTACTTTTTACATTATGAGGGTATTTTTGAAGAAATTATTACTTTTTTTAAATGTGGATATAGGCCTGTATCTGATATTTGTAAATGTAAAGTATCAATGAGTCTTAAGGGTGGGACACATTTTGGTCTTTTGTCATAAATAACTTCTATAGCGGACGACAGCCCACTGCTGCCCCCTTTGGCAAGTGATCATCCAAGGACAAGGGAAAAGTTGATGTTTTGGCACGCACAATCTCATCATTAGGCTAAACAAAGTCTCCCTGTAGATATTTTCCTTTATTATCCCTACGATTTGCAGCCTTGTAAACGAAGGACAATAATTTAAAAAAAACGATGAAGAATAAGCGCCGACGTTTGGCAGGAAGTCAATATTCATACAGGATTTTTGTCATGAATATTCAAATCTTATTGGTTCTCACAGGAGAGGAGCACAAGCTGTCAGGTCTTGCATCCGCTAAAACATGCACATGCAGTTCTATTTTATGCAGTGCACAGGCAGAAAAGGGGGCATATGTCCACTTTAAGTCATATGTCAACTAAGGAGGGTTTCTCACCCATCATCTGTACTTCAGTTAGCAGGTTTTCTCGACCTTTTGTCCTTAATTCAAAGAACCTTTTCAAGGGAATGAAAGCTCAGACCGCGAAATACAGTATATGACCTGTGGGTGTGGTTAGACACTCCCTAATCCTGAGGCTGACTCATAAACACATCTAAGGTCAGTTAAGATGTGGTAGGGAGCAGATCTAACGACCTTGCTAGGGCTAACGATCCTAACTCATTAGCATGCCACTGCTGAGATTGCTCAAGTGGAGTGCAGGTCTGCCACTCCTAACTCATTGCGTGCTAATAAGTTAGGAGTGGCACACCTGCACTCCACTTGAAACATTTATTTGGATTAAGGAGGAAACGTCGGGAAAACCTGCTAATAAGTACAGATGATGGATGAGCAACTTTTCTTTGTTTTGAATAATCCCTGTACGACTGAGACCTTACCCAAACTTCAGTATTATTGTTTACCTTTTTTAACTAGGATAGTTCCACAGAGATTTGAGAGAGAGGGGAGTCTTGGCTCCAGTTGGGAAGGGATTTTAGAAAAAAAAATGTGTTGGGAAAACCTTTGCCGACACGGGGAGAACTATGAACAGGCGTTAAACGTTTTCTGCAACACTAAAGGCAGGGCATGTGTTTTCTCCAATGTATTTATAAAGTGGACTAATAAATACATCAACTCCAGTCATATTCAGACCGTTCAAACTCAGAGAGTGGAACCCCCTGACTTAGAAATGTAACCGTAAATCTGAAAAACACAGAATGTCAGTCAAGCTGTATCGAGACACTTTGCTGGGAGAAGTATGGTAACTTGAGCACTATCCTCTCCTCTTCCTACTTTCATCATTATAACTTCAACTGCAGTCTGTTCATTGCTATTCGCCCGCTGTCCCATTGTCTGTTTTATGGTGTGATGATGAGACCCCTGAACCTTTCCTCCTCTATTGGCACCTGTGGATTGTCCTCCTCAGTGCAGATGTGTGGGCTGCACCCCCTCACCACACGGAAGCCGACTCAGCCTTCTATTGCATGGCCTCGGTCCTTGTTCTACAGCCGGAGTCCATGGGAGCGGATCCCTCAATGTGAGTCTCTCCAAGGAATCTTGTTTTCTCCAACAGGTTTTTCTTTGACATTTATGGACACCCGCCCCTTATGGACCAATGGCTCTATGTGTTTTTTATCATTGCATTTATGACTATATAAGAATATATTTAATTTAATTGTGAATCCTTGGACTTTCTAGATGAGAGGTGATTGTGCCAACCAATCAATCAGGGACAAATTTGTTTGGCTCATGTAGACACACAGAATATGTTGGTTTATGTCTGTACGCATAATTAGTGTTCACAATAAAGATAAACTTTTGTATCCAAATCAGAGAAAAAAAATGTTATTTTCACAGTCCATCTTTCTTTCATAGCTGAATGTGCTGACTGGAGAAGAAGCTGATGGACAAATCAAAGTCTATTTCTATATAACTTCGACAGCCTGCTGAGTCAACGGTCTTCAAAATATCAGTAAGGTACATTCTGAATTCTTCGTACAAAACACAACTCGAGGGGAAAAGAATCCAGCTGAAGGGGAGGATACAAGACAAAGACGTTGACGCTAATCCCTTATGAAAAACCAGAGAGGGAAAGGTTTGTCGAAATGATGAATATGCAATATGCTGATGTTACATGCTGATGAGATTCAAAAAGAAAAGCTTCCTGTGTATTCTACTATCCGATTATGATGTGTTCTCATTTAACCCTTTAATGTTTCCCTCAAACATTTGGTGGATCACTGCTTGAGTCACTTTACCTACTTGAAACATACTTAGAACTGAAATATTCCTCATTGGTGCATTTCTATCACTTGGTTTTAGACACATTTACCATAAAACTGCATATCTACCATTTAGTAAACGACTATAATTTAAAAAACCTAGGGTTCACAAAAAACAAACACAAACACAAATGATGTTTGTTATCAGTACTCCAACAAAGTTCCAAAAAAGAAAATTTGACATTGCTTTCTTCAAGGAGTGAACACGGACGACACCACCCTCATTGGACTCATCTCCAACAACGATGAGTCCGCCTACAGGAGGGAGGTGGACCGGCTGGTGTCCTGATGCAGTGGTAACAACCTGGAGCTGAACGCCCAGAAGACAGTGGAGATGATTGTGGACTTCAGGAAAAGCACTGTCCCCCCGCCCACACCCTCCGTGATGGACTCCCCCATCACCTCTGTGAAGTCCTTCCGTTTCCTGGGCACCACCATCACCCAGGACCTCAAGTGGGAGCCGACCATCAGCTCCCTCATCAAGAAGGCCCAGCAGAGGATGTACTTCCTGCGGCAGCTCAGGAAAGCCAAGCTGCCTGCACAGATGTTGGTGCAGTTCTACACGGCCATCATCGAGTCCATCCTCACCTCCTCCGTCACCGTGTGGTTCGCTGGAGCCACAGTCAGGGACAAACAGAGACTACAGCGCATTGTGCGCTCTGCAGAGGAAGTGATCGGCCGCAGCCTTCCATCGCTGCCGTAATTGTAACTCTATTTTAAATTTAAATTTATTCCTTAGAAGTGTTTTTTATTCTTTATCTTTTATTATCTCTTTCTGACTGTTGCACCGAGCCAAAGCAATTTCCAAGTCTGTGACTTCCTGTTACTTACGTGGCAATACCAATGATTCTGATTCTGATTCTGATTAAAGGATAAAACATGCCAAACTAACTCAAGTGTTACTAGTATGTTGGGGCTGAAGCACAAACTCACCATAAGACTTTGGTCCTGGAGAAGCTCTTGTCCACTCTGAAAAACACAGACCAAAATAATAAGTCATTCAAAAATCTAAATTACATAACAATATATAATCCTTCCCAATGTTCCAAAGACATATAGGGACATTGAAAAAGGTTTTTTTTTTTTTTTATATAACAACACTGCAACAACAGTTTATTTACTCGGGATGCTTATAATTGAAAACAAAAAGATAACAACCTCTATCTTAATGATTGATGTCAACTAATACAAAAATCTTTATGAAAAATGGTGTGTCCAAGAATACAAACTCTGCCCTCAGCGAGTAGAAAACTGGCATTTAAATGTAACAGAAAGTCTATATTTCCAATCCATGTGAAATGATGTGGAAATCAATGATAACACTTCCCATTCATTGGCATTCTGAAAAGAGCCAACACTGAGTGATTATCGACCTTCAATCCATATCACTGATGCCATTCAAGCATTTCAAACATATTCTCATTCAAAACCCTGTGAGGTTTTTCAAGATTAAATGAAGGAGGTCAGACACTGCATAGTCTACACCTAAGTGCAGTCCTGTCTTACTGCAGCACTAAAGCTGAGTGAACTGTGACCCCTCTCACTAATGGCCGCCCACTTTAGAGGAATCCGAATGGTTAGCAGACATCAGACATGAAGTCTTGTTTCAAAATAAAAACTGACATTTCAATTTTTCAATTTGAGTTCTGTGTATGGTCTCTCCGATTGGTCACTGAAGAACTATGTCTATGTCTCTCTTTCTTGTTGTTCTTTCTTCTTGGATAATATAAAAGTCACTGATATAATATGGATTATGTATTGTTTGGTTGGGACAGTACACGTTAATAAACACATCATTGTAGGCATGACCTGATTTGCATCTGTTGTCCCACAGTCGCACTCACAAACACACACTCATTCATACACCCTGAATTATTGCACATGTTTTTAGTGGTAGGGGAAACCTATGCAGACACGGGGAGAAAATGCAAACTCCACTCAGAAAGGTACTGTTCCGACTGGGACTCAAACCCAGGACCTTCTTACTGAGAGGCGAGAGTGCTATTTACTCAGCCACCGTGCTGCCAAATCTTACTTTCCGATGAAAAACGTACTGTGATAAATGAAACATTCCATACCAACTCAACCTACCGACTGACTGACTGAATGAAAAGGAGCTGGTGGGTGATTCACCAGAATTTGTCTGAAATATTTAGACAATAATTTCCATTCAATCAAATGTAGCCTGTCAAAATTCAGTCTGGTAGGCCACCTGCTGCAGCCCATCCCATTCAAGCCGGCCCCTTTCATGAAGTTCTGCCAACCTATGCCAATCAAGCCGGCACTTTAAAAGCGAAAACTTCCAAACAACTAATTCTTTTTCTTTTCCAAGCCTTGCAATGACCGCCTCCCCACCTCCTCATAGACCTTCAAGCACACACTCATCAAAACTTCGCCCTTATGCCACGACCAGTACCTAAGCCTATCCAACCACCAGTACCTAGGCCTATCCAACCACCAGTACCTAGGCCTTATCCAACCACCAGTACCTAGGCCTTATCCAACCACCAGTACCTAGGCCTTATCCAACCACCAGTACCTAGGCCTATCCAACCACTAGTACCTAGGCCTATCCAACCACCAGTACCTAGGCCTTATCCAACCACCAGTACCTAGGCCTATCCAACCACCCATACCTAAGTCTTATCCAACCACCACTACCTAGGCCTTATCCAACCACCAGTACCTAGGCCTATCCAACCACTAGTACCTAGGCCTTATCCAACCACCAGTACCTAAGTCTTATCCAACCACCACTACCTAGGCCTTATCCAACCACCAGTACCTAGGCCTATCCAACCACCAGTACCTAGGCCTATCCAACCACCAGTACCTAGGCCTTATCCAACCACCAGTACCTAGGCTTTATCCAACCACCAGTACCTAGGCCTATCCAACCACCAGTACCTAGGCCTTATCAAACCACCAGTACCTAAGTCTTATCCAACCACCAGTACCTAAGTCTTATCCAACCACCAGTACCTAGGCCTTATCCAACCACCAGTGAGTAGACTAGGTATTTAAATATTTTGAAAAATTGATATTTACATCTACAGCTAGCTAAGAAACATAGCAGCTACTTCTTTTGCACATTTTGAGTGCTCCCTGTGTGCTTTTACTGCCGTCCTGTGTGCGCTACAACATTGAAATTTTACCACAGTGGGACGAATAAAAGATCTGGAGGATTTGGATTAGGCAAAGCAAGTTTATTTGTATATCCCAGTTCATATATACCCAAGAAAACTTAAAGTGCTTAACAAAACAAGAAAATATTGTTATGGAAAACCATGCGCCCCGGACCATCAACAGAGACGAGGGGGCCTTTACCTTACCTTAGATGTTATACTTGCTTCTGTAATATGCTAAAGCTAGATATTTCATTTAAATTCATTTTGGTTATCTCAGTTATTATCTTGTGTTGTGCGCTCCTCATTCCTGCTGTTCTATAACTGGTGACGCAACAATGACCTTTTCCCACCGTGGGACGAAAAAAAGGATCTCTTAATCTCAACCATTCAGAGGAACATGCTTGTTTCTTCCACATACTACGTTTTTGGAGCTGTTTTCTTTGCACTTGTTGTTATCAAACACAGCTCAACCTTTGAACGGTGTGTTCGACATAAATGCTGACACTGCACTTGTAGCTGGTGGCTTGTGTCTCGTGGGGCTTTTGTTGTGAAAACATTCACGCAGCGAATGGTGCTACGGATGAATTATATCCCACTGGTGACGGATGGAAAAAGAGTGGAAAATACAAGGCTGACACCAACAAACAGCTCTGTGAGTTTCTATGAGTACTTGATAAAGTGATTGCTATAGTAATATCTAGGAATTACCAAAACAATTCATTTCATATTGATTTGAAGTGCGATGGGTAATACACAGAGGTGTGGACTCGAGTCATGTGACTTGGACTCGAGTCAGACTCGAGTCATGATTTTGATGACTTTAGACTCGACTTGACCAAATATAAAAAGACTTGCAACTCGACTTGGACTTTAACATCAATGACTCTGACTTTCACTTGGACTTGCGCCAATTGACTTGCAAAGACTTGCGTAACCCGGGCCATTTTTACTTTTCTCCGCATCTCTCTTTCTATCTATGCCGTCTCTGAAGAAACAAAGCCTCGCGGTAGTTGTAGCGCTCGCGAGAGAGTTCGAACGTGAGTTCCCCGCAGTTCGCGCAGCAACACTTCCCTAAACAAGCGGACTGCATTCACCGGTGGGTGTGTTGTCTAGGGCAGTGGTTCCCAAAGTGGGGGTCCCGACCCCCCGGGGGGTCGCGGGAACCCCTGGGGGGGTCGCAAGATGATTTCCACACACACAAAAAAAGATTTTTTTTGCTCAAAAAAATTTTTTTTTTTTTGAGCAAATATAAAGCCCTTAAATATGTATTTAGCATTTATATATATTATTATATATATTTTATAATATATTTATAAAATATATTTTAATAACGTTAGTAATTTTGTCCCAGTCATTGCAGCGTCAATCAAAATCATCACGTAACACAGCTCACATCATGCGCAGCGACAAAGCGTGTCCTGCTGTTGTTTGCTAAAACTAAAGGTGTTTGGAGGCTACAAATAAATAATACCTGCTTTAAAATGAAACGTGGTTAATATCCACAACAGAAAAACCCGGAGGGGGAGAAAAGTCACTTGTATCAGGGGTCAGGCTGATGGTGCGAAGAGAGGGAGAGAGGGCAGAGGAGGGAGGGAGGACAGCGGTAGAACAGCGCGTAAAGGGCTCGACACACGGGAGGCGACAAATGAGAGCGATCAGCGAAACTCAACGCTGTCGCTCAGATAACATGACAGACGGGGCGCGATGCGGCTTGACGACAGCGTCGAAAAGTTGAGCCGATTTCAACTTTCTGGGATCGCGTCGCTGACCTGCGCGTGCACGATACATGCACGAGCAGGAGGATTTCACACGCACGTTTTTCGCCCGTCGCTGAGCAGGAGGCTCGCTAGCGATTGACGCTATGTCGCGCACGTCCCATTGAAATGAATGGAGGCGATGCGATGTCGCCTCCCGTGTGTCTAGCCCATTAAAGAGGCCCGGCTTTTCGGAGTCAAAGGTAAAGAGGTCCGCACATTAAAAGCGGGTGGCCGGTTTATGCCTTTACTGACAGTAACTTTGGAAAGAGAAGCCGCGGGGATGAACCGCATAAAGTAACAGCAGAAAGCGGCCGCCCGCTTTTAATGTGCGGACCTCTTTACCGCTGACTCCGGAAAGCCGGCCCACTTTACCGCGGTAGGAGAACAGTGAGGGCGAGCCGTAAGAAATGCGCTCCACTTCTGCTGAGGAGAGAGCCCACCAAGCCCATCACTGTGTCACTACATGAGTAAAATTATGCAAGCCTCCTTTTTTGGGCTGGACAGTGCAGCTCGGTAGTGGCGTGAGTCTCTAGAAAGCGTTACTCCGTATCAAGGAAATACATGCTCATTTCATGTGACGGAAGGGCTGTTGGGGGGGGGTCGCGGGTTAGCAGGGCATTTATGATGGGGGTCGCGGGCTAAAAACTTTGGGAACCCCTGGTCTAGGGGAGCTGGAAATGAGCGAGCTGCAGGTATTTATCGCGACCTAACGTCATATTTTGTTCTACAAACCGTAATTGATATGCTTTCACTACAGGCGCCTCATACAATTGAATCGACGCAGTTGTCACACTGTGTGCCGTGTTTTAAAGAGGAACTGGTGAGTCAAACTAGCGCTAGCCTGCGCTGCTCTGTTGGCTCTTTCTTATATTTTTCTGTGTGGGCACCGAGGCCTATTATTATGAGTATGTTTTTGCTGTGCTCCTCCTGCTAAAGTTTGCATACATTAGATAGTTGTTTTGATTATGTGCACTAAGCTAGATTAATACTTGCACTATTGTTTATGGTGCCATTGATATGAGAATCAGTGCTTTGACTGATTGAATTAATTTATATGAGACATTTTATTATGTAATGATATATTGGTAATTATGAGATATTACTAATGCTGGTCCAGTTCATACAGGCCAGGTTCCTTCCCCTCCATTGGTCCCTTCAGTCCTTTATAATATAAGCATACTATTCATATATGCTGCACTTGCTACTTCCCATTAAAAACCCCAAAGATAAAAAGTATGTTGACACGGACTGCTCTGATTTTATGTGTGGTCTGTGCATGTGTAACTGAGCCTGCATCTGGCACAACATCCAATTAGATCACATAGATAGTTTTGATTTACCAGCAGCCAACGACATGGAACAAACTGTTAGTCCATGGGTCAGAGACCAACGAGAATGCACCAGCAAAACGATTCCTAACATTATTTTGTTTGCCTACAAAAGTACGTGGAGACCAACAAGAAACAAATCGCGGTCAAAAAGACTCGAGAGGACTCGAAAGTCAAACCGTAGGACTTGGGACTGACTTGAGATTTGTTGGCCTTTGACTTGGACTCGACTCGGGACTTGCCTGTCTTGACTCGTGACTTGACTCGGGACTTGAGGGCAATGAATTGAGACTGACTTGTGACTTGCTAAACAATGACTTTGTCCCACCTCTGGTAATACACACTTTGAAACATTGAAAATAGGGATGATGAATAAATTATATTCAAAGTCCGGTCCAGGAAATACAATATTGACAGACTAGAAGCAAATAACAAGGTTGGTATCTGCAATTTGTTGTTTAAATTCAGAATATTGTAAAATGTAATAATTCTAATGGCTGCTTTCAGAATAATAATAGCTGATTCCATATTTCCATTTGAGGGCAACACACACACTCAGATGTGTGACCCTCTGTAATAAAGTGCATTATTATTGTTATTATTGCTATATTTTCTTTTCATATTGTGATTTTTCTTTTTGGCCATAACACCAAGACCCACTGAGCCTGTCCCAATAGTAAGTCTATTGGAACAGGTTGGTGGGAATGGGAAAACTAAGAAAATGTATGAGAAAGTATATAAATGTTAACTATGGCAAGATGGTTTGGGAGGGAAGATTATGCACCTCCATAATTAGTTTTAAGAATAGAATGCAGAGACATAAACTGTGTTTATACTGGTGGAAAAACACAAAAGAGCAGAAG